ATTACCATGTTGGTTTTTCGCGTTCCCAGATTAAGTCAATGATCTAACTCCTTTTCCTAGGCTGATGCAGTTATATCGTCGGTATCCGAAAGGCTTGGAGTTTCGAAATCCGAGCTTCTTGACCCCACGTCCTCTGACGCAGCAATCAGGCAAGCCCATGCTGAAACGCATGTGATCCAAGAAACAAAAGCCTACTTCTCATCTAATGGAGTGAACCTGGATTCGTTCAAACAACGGGAACGTGGAAATACCGCAATCCTAGTTAAGAATTTCTCCTTTGGTGTAAAAGCTGACGATTTAAGAAAGCTATTTGAACCGTTTGGACAAATCAAAAGACTCCTAATCCCCCCGAGTGGCACGATAGCCATCGTTGAGTTCGTCATGGCGGATGAGTGCCAAAAGGCTTTCAAGGGACTCGCTTATCGAAAACTAGGTGATTCAATTCTGTTTCTGGAAAGAGCTCCTAAAGACCTATTCGATGAGAAGGCGACTGCTGCAAGGGTTGTAGCACCTCCTCCAAAGGTGGTCTCGCAAACATTCTCAACTTCGGATACTTTCAAGGCGACTGAAACGGAAGAAGCCGAGACTCCGCTGGAGACATCCACTCTCTTCGTTCGAAATCTTAACTTTTCAACAACAAATGCCCGTTTGACAGAGGTGTTCCAACCACTGGATGGATTCCTGTCCGCTAGGGTGAAAACAAAAGCCGACCCAAAGCGACCAGGAGAAACGCTTAGCATGGGTTTTGGATTCGTGGAGTTCCGCACAGCTGCTCAAGCTCGCGCCGCACTCGCCACGATGCAAGGCTACAAGCTGGATCAACACGAACTCGTTGTCAAGACCTCGCACAAAGCCATGGACGCCGCTGAAGAACGAAGGCGCGAGGATAATGCGAAGAAGTTAGCCATGCGGGGAACCAAGATCCTTATCAAAAACTTGCCATTCCAAGCCACGAAGAAAGACATCAGAAACCTCTTCAGCGCGTATGGCAAACTGCGGTCTGTCCGCGTCCCGCAGAAATTTGACAGGACGGCTCGTGGTTTCGCGTTTGCTGATTTCATAAGTGCGCGCGAGGCGGAAAATGCCATGGACGCGCTGAAGAATACCCATCTTCTGGGTAGGCGGCTGGTGTTGGAGTTTGCGTCCTCGGAAGCTATTGATCCTGAGAAGGAGATTCAGAACATTGAGAAGAAGATGGATGCTCAGGTGAATCTGGTGAATCTGAAAAATCTTGCAGGTGCAGGGTCTGGACGAAAGAAGTTTAATGTCGATGCTGGCGAGGACGAGGATGGATGAACGAATTATCTATATTATTGTTTATTATAGCCCATTCCAGAATGGCAAAACAATCAATAAATATATACCTTAATAGATATATATATCTGTTTGGATAAAATTATGTAGCTACTTTCGAGCTCATACTACTCATTATAGAGGGGGAAAAGGGCTGGGCCACATTAAGAAGCTCTGTAGGCATGGCCATTTAAGCGAGGATTGGTAATGGGATTCCGGTAGTTACTGTAAAAGTGGAAGGGTAAGGATCCGTAACGATCAATCTATACTAATAAACTATGACTGCGCGGGGATAGTTTCTACTTACGTTTAAGGGATTGTTGAACCTAAGATTCCTGTTCAAGGCACTGATTCCGTCGATTTCGTTTTGCTCAAGGCCGAAATCATTGACGCGTAGATTCTCAAGGAGACGGGTTTCAGAGTTGCTCTTAAGGATGACAGCAATACCTTGTTGTGTGGCCCAACGGAGGACAACCTGGGCAGATGTTCTGTCATGCATCCGAGAAACGGGAGTAATAACGGGGTGAGAAAGTAGCGGCCGGGCGTTCCTGGCGATTTGCATGTTGAGCTTAAGAAAGCTTGTGTTGGTAAACGAAGAATAGGCGGTAACAGCAATACCATTCTCTCGAGCGAAATTCACTAAGAGACATTGGGTAAGGTATGAGTGATGCTCGATCTGGAGAGTGGCAGACTTGATTCGCGCATAGCGCAGCAAGTCCATGATGAGCTGGATGTCTGATTCCGATGCTACGAGACAGTTCCTTGTCGACCAGCTCCTCCATGGCTTGCTAGATCGTAGTACCACTGAGAATGATCGAACTTTCACCATCACTAAACCAACCTAGGGGGTAGCGCACATCGGGGTCAACATATTTCAGCGCAAAGGGGAAGTGTACAGTACAATGTAGAGGTCGAAGTAGTCAATGCTCCAGTCAGCTAACTGTTTCCGCGCAACATGTTCAACTTGCTCAGGATCATGATAAGCCTGCCAGAGCTTTAACACGATGAACAGTTCCTTGCGCCTCACAATCCCATCTTGAATGGCCCGAGCGGTTCACTTTCCAGCTTCAGCGTCGTTCCTGTAGTCTGACCGTAGTCAGATATGCAGTAAAATGATGTATGTCAGCAGCTGCCATACCAATCTTCACAGGGTCTTTTAGCAGTCTGGTTAGAAGGGAAGTAGGGAAGTAGGGGTTTCCTTACCATAAGTACCATCTAACAGGCGGTAACCAGCCTTTATGGCGCCGTAGACCTGGTCAACGCAGCTGTCTTTATTGACCTTCCACAGCCCAAAGCCAACAATGGGCATGTTGTACCCGCCGTTTAGCTTTATATCCGCGACAGCCATCATTCCAGTCAACTGGATTAGAATGATTGCCGTTTCTCCAGTAATTTGAGACAAGAGTTAGCTGTTGCAGGTACTCTGGACATGAGCGCCCCTGCTAGCTGAATGAGGCAAGCCAGAGGAAAGAAATTGAGCATGAGAATAGAAAGCAAAAGAGTAGGTGAAGAACGGAGCAAACAGATTGGGTTTATATGTATACGTGGAATGAAGCAGTTATCTTGAAGATGGCCCCATGAACTCTCCTCTGCCATTGCAATTAACAAAAGAATTGCAGAACGAGAAGCTGTGCATACACTGTGCAGTCAGTCAATGGCCGGTGTCCCTCAACATTGCGACCGGGCCTGGACATTGCTCCATGCTATACCCATACTCTCCTTGTGTAATGGATTCACCCATAGCGAAACGTACACAACCTACTCGTGCAACAGCAGGTAAATTTGAACCTATTCCGAAGAACAGATATTAAAATTCTCAGTTTCTCTGGATCAAAATAAATTACCTGCGCTAGGCATTGATTGGCATAATTCAACATCCACGCATTTGATTTTTCGATATCAACGCCCAGTATCACCGATGCATTTTGTAGAGTGGAAATAGCATTTCAAACCCAACCTTGGAATGGCTACACCTTTATGTTTTGAAGGTCACTCTGTGTCATTTGCAGAGCCGCTTTCCGATCCCGACACAAATAGCTAAATCTTGTGATCAGATGAGCCGATTAGCCCTATCCAACTCATTCATCATGGACGTAGAAATTAAGGATGAATAGTATAAGATGGTGGACAAAACAATCGAGTAGATGAAGTCAGTTCTCGGCTCCGAAATTTGGGACCTCAGATTTCATCAAATCACATGATCTCCACCAGTTTGCTTTTTTTTCTCTAGCATCAAAATTCAAAGTGATACAACCGGCCATCATCAATCAATAATCGAACCGGATGATATTTACGTGTTTCTCTATGTCTATTTCACAAGAGCCAAACAACTGTCATATTGAACTTCAGACTATATAAACGGCCACGTGAAGATATCCCCGCGGGGCGTTGCCCCTGTCGAAGTTCTCAGGACCTTCATCGAAGGAGAAAAGAATCCTAAGTACGGAAATCTTCCCACCAAAAGGGCCACTTATCCATGGGAGACACCACATGGATCACAAGCAAACATTTTAATGACAAGAGGATTCACGAAAGCTGCCGGAGGAGTTTCTTGGAAGTGGGGCGACGATAACGTCTGAATTATCACATATATTCTTGATATCCTAGGACCTATCTATGGCGACCTTCGCTGCACGCCATGTTGCGAATCTCAAACAAGTCCATATCAAAATGGTACCGAGTCCTCGCACACTCGCGGAGTCGCAATTGATCCTTGGGGCGATACGGAAATTTGGGGAAGTAACGTATTTCTTAAATTTGAAGGTATGTATCTTGTTGGGTTAGTATTTTTGTATCTTGCTTCTTTGCGCCGATAATGAAAGCGGATTTGCCTCGACTTGTATTATTTCTTTCCTTGACTTGATATCAAGTTCTCTATGTGTTCGTTTGGCTCTATGGACTTGAAACGGGGGATGGGCTAGCTCGCTATCAAATGTGGACGAGAGTCCTTATTGGCATTAAAGCGGCTATTGCACTCGTTGAGACCATTGAAATACGGCGATTAGCTGTCCCTCTTTCTTTTGTGATACACATTGTTTTGACCACATTTTGCAGGGGGGTTCTGTACGTTTGTTTTGGACTCTTCTGGGATTTGCACTTCAGCGCATATTGCCCTACCAATTTCTACCATAGATATTTCAGCAGCCCAAAGAACCTAGATAAAAAGCCCTGACTCATGCTAACAAAGGTGTATTAGAATACTCCATCCCGAGAAGCTAAAAATACTGGTCGCTCAGCGTTAGCAATTTTTGAGGACTCCCAAGCCAGGAACGCAGCTTTGGAAGCTTCTCCACTTGTCGTTCCTATCCCTAGTCTATCTACGCTCTTCCCATCAACATACCCGCCTAATTCCGAAGGATATCAACATTCAACGAAAAGTACCCTTAGCAAGCCACGCATCAAAGCCAAAACCAAAGAAGCCAGAATGAACAAGGCCAGAGAAAAAGAAAAGGAACAAAATAGCAACGATTATGAGAACTGTGATGCCAACCAATCTCAATCATCAATCATCTGCTATATCGAGCCGTCATACCATGACCACAGTGTCGCAGTCAAGCAGAATCCATACCATAACGCCTTCCTTGTCGCGTCTAACTCCGTTGAGGTTCAGGATCTTTTGCAGATAGCAAATGGTACGTATGGAAGTGGCAATTACAAAAAGCGTAGCCACGCTCCAAGTCCAGCTGCGTCACCCTGGCTTGGACATGTCGACTGCTTTCCGAACAGGAAACGGTCGGTTCCATTTCGTCATCAGATTAACGTTATGCGGGATTGCCGAGACGTTGCATGGCGATCCGCCTTATGCTACTGTG